CAAGTGAAAACAATGAAATATTTTTTTCTTCATCAGAGGAATAAAATGTTAAGGAATGCTAACAGCCTGGGCTGGTAAGAGGGTGGCAAAAGGGCACTCTTGTGTCATGCTTCTGTGGGCAGGGATGACTGCAACCTTTTGTGGAATTAATCTGGCAATATCTAATGAAATTCCAAATTTGAATACCCTCCGACTAGCCATTCCACTTTGGGGAATTTATGCTCAGAAAACAAGCACTGGCCTCTAAGGCTAGATAAGCAGCATTGTTTACAGAGACACAGAACTGACAGAGCATTCTCAGAAGGAGAAGAACCGAATAAATTATAAAAATTCATACTATGGACCCTTATGCAGTCATTAAAAATAATGGGAATAATAAGAATAATAAATTATGGCTGGGAATATTTATTATATATGAAATAAAAGAAAAAAAAAGAAGCCACGGAGTAAGGTGTGTGGTATGACCACTTGTAAAGATTATTTAAAAGAAAAGAAACATATTCCACACATATATATAAATCCTAATATTTTTGTGATTGTAAAGGAAAGTATGGAAAGGTCACATGAAACAACACCATCAATGCAGGTTACCTGTGGGTACAGAATTGGGATGGAAGAAGGCACTGTCGCCATTTTCTTTATAGCCTTCTGTGTTTACAGTTATTGCAACAAGCCATCTGTTGCTTTTGGAGTATAGTGTTGCTTTTAAAGGAAAAAAAAAACATACACACACGTGCATAAACAGTCAGCTCCTAAGGGCTATGTCTGGCTATGTCTTTATCAACACGTGTAACTGGCAATGCGGATAATTCACAGGGTACTTATTTGTCACTGATGTCCTGGGCATGAAGAGAACTTTAAAGAAAAAGAATGAGGCTGGTCTATCAAAGGATACCTACTCAAGACCTCCACTAGTGCCAGAGGCAGCACTGTAGATGTCCTTCCCCTCCCCTTTAATTCCATTTTTAATATTTTTTATTACATATACTAACCTGTTTAGTCTATTCTATGATGTAAGGTTCACTTAAAAAAAAAAACTGAATTCGATCATCATTTAAAAAAACACACACAGCCCTGGCAGTCTTCTAAACTGTTCATCTAGGTCATCATCTTTCAAAACGGGCCAAGCATTTATCCCTGGGGAAGTCAGCCCACCCCTAATTTCCAACTGGATGGCAGGCACCCAGAACAGGACCACCGTTTGCAGGTGGTTCTCAAGTCACTGAAACAGCAGCTGCTCCCTGGCCAGACCTGCCGCCCCTTCCCGTTTCCAACCTTGCCAAGGACCCCCCAGCCCTGTCCCCGATCCTCAGACTTCCTCAATTTCCCTAATTTCCTGCCTCCCCAAAATGCTCTTGAATCATCACCTTTCTACACATATTTTGTGCTTTTCCTAAGAAACAGAGGTGTATCCTCCCTGTGGAGGCTCTACCTTTGACCCTTTACAGCCTGCTCTATTCTACCACCCCACCCCCCATCAGCCTCTGCCTGGGGGTCAATTAAGTCTAATGGCTAGGACTGTGGCCTCACAAGTCAGAGCAACTAAGTGCAAACCTGCGTCTTTCTTGCTGTCCTGCTCCTAGGTTCATCAGAACCATTTTTTTTTAGATTCCATATATATGTGTTAGCATACAGTATTTGTTTTTCTCTTTCTGACTTACTTCACTCTGTATGACAGACTCTAGGTCCATCCACCTCAGGGAGATCAGCTCGGTGCTTTTTAACCCCCAGAGGGGTGGGATAGGGAGGCTGGGAGGGAGGCGCAAGAGGGAGGGGATATGGGGATATATGTATACATACAGCTGATTCACTTTGTTGTACAGCACAAACTAACACAACATCGTAAAGCAATTATACTGGAAAAGAGATGTTAAAAAAAAAAAAGTGCAAACCTAACATTGGCCAGGTGTGACCTTGGGCAGGCATGAAGGTTAATTTTATGTATCCACTTGACTAGACGAAGGGGTGCCCAGATGGACAGGAAAACATTATTTGGGGGTGTGGCTGAGAGGGTGTCTCTAGAAGAGATTAGCACTGAAATCAGCAGACTGAGTAAAGAAGGTCACCTTTATCCACGCAGATGGGCCTCATCCAAGCCAGTGAGGGCCTGAGTAGGACAAAAAGGCGGAATGAGGGCAGATTCACTCTCTCTGAGCTGGGACATCCATCTGCTCCTGCCCTCGGCCATCAGCACCCCGGGTCCTCAGGCTTTGGGGCCAGGCTGGGAATTACACCATGGGCCCTCCAGTTCCTGGGCCTCTGGACTTGGACTGAATTATACCAGCAGCGTGCCTGGGTCTCCAGCTTGCTCATATGTATTTATCGGTTCTGTTTTTCTGGAGAACCCTGACTAATACAGCAAGTTCCTTAATCCCTCTCCACCTCAGTGGACTCTGCAGAAGCTGCCAGGGCATCTCAGGGCTTAGGCCTAGCCCTGGAGACAGTCTTAGTTCTGCTGCATCCCACTGGCTAAGGCCAGTCAGAGGTCCAGTCCAAGTTCAAGTGCAGGGAACTGTGCAAGAGCAGGGGCGCCAGGGGCCACAGACAAAATGTGCTATCGCAGCACGAAAAACACTCAGCTTAACTCCTGGCACACAGTATGTGCTCGATAAATGTAAGCCATTTTCTTGGGTATTGTTTTTTCTTCAATAAAGGAAAATTATTTTTACAATGGTTCTTCACCATGGACACACCACAGAGAAGGCCTAGCAACCTAGAAAGTGCTAAAGAGCCCACACCTCTTATTTCAGGAAATGCAGAGGAAACACAGGGCAGCCCTAAACCACGCAGAACAGATTTTGGTGTAAAGCCGGCCATCTTAGTCACCATTCGTAAAAGAAAACTATCCTTGCAAAGTGGTTTCCAGGTCCAGGCAGGCAGGCACATCCATGGCAAGGGGCCAGTGTTAGCGCCGAAAGCCACGCCAACATGCAGACCTGTCCCAAGATCACTGGAACCAACCACCATGTCTGCAAAGGGCAGAAGTCATATGTAAAAAAATGGTATATACTGTTTGGAAAGAAGTGTAAAGGTACATGTGGTAGATTCAGTTTCAGGAAAGAAAACTAGCACATGAAACAGTGGGTGTAAAGAGGCGGGGAGAGGGACGTGGATGGAGAGCAGAATCTACAACCTCTAAAACGTAAGCAGAGAATGTTGTTCACTGTTGTCCCCAGAGCCTAGAGGCACGTCTGCACACAGCAGACATGTGTGGAATTATTCTGAATCGCAGGAAGTTAGGACTAATAGGTTATAGCTGTGGAAAGGAATAACCATGAATCACCCAAACTGAATCCACGGATTACATATTTATTTAACTCTTTAGACTAAAATGCAGTGAATGTACATTTTTCACATAAACAGCTTTTCTACCGTTTTTGACAAGTGTTTTCCCTTTTAAGTTTATTATTAAAAGGCAGCTCTTTTTCCATGCCCTTTGAAAGTGCCAAAGCCACATAGCTAGGACTAGGTGGAGAAGCAGAGGCCCAGGGAAAAGCCAGGAAGAGAAGCTCATTTACCAGTCTGCCACCTGTAGGCCGCTCCAGCAGACACAAACTCGCGCCCACTAGACAGACCACACGGAAACAATGCATACTAAATCATGCTAAAAATACTTCCTACAGAGGTAGGAAGACTATTTACAGGGGCCCGTTTTAATCATGACTTCTGGGTCTTGCTTCCAAACCCCTGTCTTTGATTTGAACACTGCGAGCTATGGCCTAATCAGCCACAGCTGATGTTCTAATCAGCTCTCCAAGACTCACCCCTGGTCTGAAATAAGCTTTGAAAATTAATACCCGTATTAGGATGAACCACCATACCTGTATCGATCAGGGTGTCAGAGTCAGTTCTGCTCAGATCTCATTTTACCAGCCGGGCATCGGACTTAGAGAACAAAGGCCATTACAAAAGAACAACAACAAAAAGCGAAGCTGGACAGAATTTTTAAATTTCAAAACTCAACAACAAATAGCAAACATTCGTTACAAAGGCTTGGTTTGGATTTCGGGAGATGGAACTTAAACACACTGGGTTTACAGTTTAAACCTATAAGATGTACTCCAGCACCAGAAACCAAATGTAGTTACAGATGTCAAGAATTCGCAGAACAAGTGCCTCTCTTTATAAAGACTATCTGCTCTGCATGGATTATTACCGTTTCCATATGTCCGTTCTTTACTAACACAGGAAAAAACAACTTCAATCAAAAAATACCCCCCAAAATTAACTCTTGGAGACAATCATTTCCTTTAATGGGATTTCCTGGTAGCTTTGCTCCTATGGAGGTTTGTCAGCCACTGGATTCTCTAATTTGGGGGTCAAAATCCTAAAAATCGGTCACCCTCGGCGACGAAGCTCACTAAACACGCCCCCCGACGCCGCCAGCATTCGCTCGCCCAGGCCCGCCGCCCGCTGAGCTCGCCGGCCCGTTCCCGCCAAACGCGGGACGCGCCAAGTCCTGGACGCCAAGCGGGTGGGCGGCCAAAGCGGGTCCGGCCGGTTCCCGCCGCCTCGACTGACCAGCGACCCGACGCGACGCGCCCTGCTCCCCAGTGTCCGGCCAGACGCGCAGCGGAGGCCCCGGGCACGGAGCCGCGGCCCGGCACCAGGCTCCCACCCCTGCTCCCGCCTCGCTCAGGGCCGCCCAGCCCGCCCGGCGGGTCTCCGGCCCCCGGGAAGCAGGGGGCCCCAGGGCGCAGCCGCCCGCCCCGGAGCGCGCCCGCCGCCCACCCTCACCCGAAGGCCCCTCGGGTCGGGCGCCTGGCTTCAGCTTCCACGAAGAAAAGTTACTCCGGGACCAGCGCGATGGGAAAGGGAAAGCCACGCTCCCAGGGCGGCGAGCGGTGAGTCGGGTCCCCGGAGTTATCCTGCCAGAGTTTTGAACCGCACCCCGGGCTGCGGAAGCTCGCCCGGGCGCTTGAGCCCCGAACTTGGCACCCGCGGGTTGGTGGGCTCGCCGCCCCCCTGCAGCCCCGTGCGCGCCCGGCGCCGACACTCACCGAGAAGCCGGCCCAGAAGGGGCAGGAGTGGCGGACGCGGGCCGAGGTGGTGAGCGCCAGCGCGGCGAAGCTGACGGCCACGATGAGGCATCCGAGCGCCATCTGCGTGGCCCCGAGCGCCAGCACGATGCGGGAGCGGCCCGGGCACTCGCGCAGGCGGGACAGGCTGCGGGGCAGCGCGGCGGGGCGCGGCGCGCGGAGACCGCCGGCCGGAGGCATAGCGCCCGCACGCCTCTCCTGCTCCCGTCCGGCCCCGCGCGCCGCCCCTCCTCACCGAGGGTCCGAGGTAAGTTGCTTCGGCTGCGGGGTTGGCCTCCCCACGGGCCGCGGGGGCTGCGACGGCAGCGC